CATCGTCGCGACTGCTGCTCTTCCGTCGAGCTTGTTTGCTCGGACTCCCGTCTGCAGTCTGAAGATCAACATCGCGAAGCCGCGAAGAGCAAAAAGCACCGGCAGCGGGAGGTTGGTCACGCGACGACCCTTTATTACCTATTACCTTCCTCGATACCTGCGCCGAAGTACTGTACCGACCAGTCATTCAGTCACTGGCTACCTACCCACCTATTTACGGCACGCCCTACGTCGAGTCACAGGTGCTGCCTCCTCACGCTGCCCAAAAGGTACCTGATCGATTCCCAACTCCGCCTTTGGCTGTTGCTGCTGCTGCTGCTGTTGCTGTTGCTGTTGCTGTTGCTGGCGTCGTCTCCCCTTCGACTTGCCATCTCAAAGACTGACTGCGGGAAACAAACAGCTTCTTGTCAAAGAGCCAAGCAGTCAACAAGCAACGACGACCCCAAGTCTCCAACTCTCCGCGAACGCGCGACAGCCCGAGTCTCCCTCCAGACGCCGCCTGCCTTTGAGTCAAGCCCCCGTCGAGTTCCAGCGCAAGCCCAGGGGTGTGTCGGGGTGTCTCCTCCTGCCCTCGCTCTCTCCACCGCACCGGCACCAGGCATTGCAGGCCCCCAACCTAACTGCCTTAGCCTCTCTCGCCCCGTCCTCCGTCGTCCTCCGTCGTGTCACAGTCGTCCTTCGCCCTGGAGAGCCTCGACTGCCATCCATCTGCTGGAGGGATCACTGCTGCCGCCCGTTATTGGCTTTTGATGCTGCTTCGTCGCCCAGCGTTGCCGCCGCCGTTGCTTCTATCGTCGTCTACCACCTCAACGACATCTTCTTCTCCGGCCTCTCCCTCCATCGACCTTGTCTCTGCTCTTGTCCCTGACTCTGTCGTCCGCCTCTGCCACCCACACAAAGACGCCTCCGACATTGAGTTCAGAGCCCGTCCACAGCCTCCACATCCACGTTGGGCAACACAGAGACCAGATTACCTACCTTTTCGTCTCCTCTCTGAACCCACCCGTGTCTCTCCCTGACGTACGTCGACCCCAACCCGCCTCGCCTCGTCTCCTCCTACGTCTCGTCACAATTGGCGCTACATCCGTCACACACAACAAAAAACCATACATTTGCCCTGGTTGCCCTCAGCCCGGCACAGCGCTGCAGCACCAAGCAAGCACAGGTACCTCCAACCCCCGTCTTGCTGCTCGTCATCCGCACCAAGAGGTCAAGGTACCTAACCCAACCAACGCGGCCCAGCAGACTACTCCTCCTCCTGCTGCTCCTCATCCCCCGTCCGTCCCTCACCGTCCGGAGCCTCTCCATTACCATTTTCCGTGGGTCAGGCGTCAGCGTCAGCGTCCACCATCGTCCTCGTGGGACTGGTCCGCCTTTACTTTTCAAACGACCTTTTTGGTGACAAATCCTACGATTCCGCGACAAATCGACGACAAACACCACTCATTCCGGCCCCATCATCCGCGCGCTCGTCGACGACCATTATCTCATCGGGGGCTCGACTCCCCGACCTGCCCAAAGCCCGAAAACCCCGCGACTCCCTCGATCGGCCGACCGACCCTTTGCTCGCTCGTCCTTACCCGCCGTCGACGTCTTGCCGCCCATTTCTCCCACGATGAGGCCCGCAGCCCCCTCAATAGAAATCATGGCTGTCCAGTCAGTCACACCGGACTCCCGCTCCTCCTCGTCCACAAACTCCCCCGCCCCTGCCGACAACGAGGAGTCGGATTTCTTCATCGCCGGAAACGACTCGCAATCGTCACTCGGCGTGCCCAACATCGAAGACATGCAGGTTAACGACGATCCGTGTCAGCCCGCCGTCAACCGGTTGCCCAGCGAGATCCTCATCTCCATCTTCGCCAAGCTTAACGGTCCCAGCGATCTCTTCCACTGCATGCTGACGTGCAAGCGATGGGCAAAGAACTCCGTCGATTTACTGTGGCATCGCCCGGCCTGCACAAATTGGAAGAACCATATGTCTATCTGCAGCACGCTTGGAATGACTACGCCCTTCTTCGCCTATCGCGATTTTATCAAGCGCCTCAACTTGGCCGCGAGCCCGCTCGCAGATAGAATCAACGATGGAAGCGTCATCCCTTTGTCTGTCTGCAAACGCGTCGAGCGACTTACGCTCACCAACTGCAGACAGTTGACCGACAACGGCTTGACTCAGCTGGTGCAAGGCAGCGCGTCGTTGCTCGCTCTCGATATTTCCGGGGACAGAAACATTTCCGACGTCTCCATCAGAGCTATTGCAGAGAACTGCCGTAGGTTGCAGGGACTAAATATCTCCGGTTGCACCCAGATCACGAATGACAGCATGATCGTGCTCGCCGAAAGTTGCAAGTTCATCAAGAGGGTACGTTTACTTCCACGTTGACTCACCGAAGCCTGACCCGGCTCTCGTCTGGTACACCACGGTACCGCCTCGCATTTTGGGACTTTTGCTGACACGACTCTCGCTCCAGCTGAAACTCAACGAATGCGCCCAGCTACAGGACGTTGCGATTATGGCCTTTGCGGAACATTGCAAGAACATTCTCGAGATCGACCTCCACCAGTGCTCACAGATTGGAAACGACCCCATTACCGCCCTCATCGCAAACGGGCAGTCCCTCCGCGAACTCCGCCTCGCCGGCTGCGAGCTCATCGACGACAGTGCATTCCTATCCCTGCCACAGAACAAGACTTATGACCACCTTCGCATTTTGGACTTGACCTCATGCTCAAGACTTACCGACCAATCTGTGCAGAAGATTATCGAGGCCGCCCCCCGGTTGCGCAACCTGGTACTCGCCAAGTGCCGCAATATCACCGACGTCGCCGTTAACGCCATTGCGAAGCTCGGCAAAAACCTGCACTACTTGCACCTGGGTCACTGCGGCCACATCACGGACGAAGCCGTCAAGCGTCTCGTCCTGGCATGCAATCGTATACGGTACATTGATCTGGGATGCTGTACACTGTTGACAGATGACTCGGTGATGCGTTTGGCCCAGCTGCCCAAGCTCAAGAGAATCGGTCTCGTCAAATGCAGCAACATCACTGACGAGTCTGTGTTCGCCCTCGCTCGCGCAAACCACCGTCCTCGGGCACGTAGGGATGCCAACGGCAACATTGATGAGTACTATGCTAGCAGCTTAGAGCGCGTCCATCTGAGTTACTGCACAAACCTCACATTAAAAGTTAGCAACCCTTAGTTCCAAAGATTGTACTTGACTAACAAACAATAGAGCATTATCAAGCTGCTCAACTACTGCCCGCGCCTCACGCATCTCAGTTTGACAGGAGTTACTGCCTTCCTCAGGGAAGAGTTTGCAGAGTTTTGCAGACCTCCACCACCTGGTACGTTCCGCTGATGCCGACAGACTGGATATTTGCTGACTGTATTAGAATTCACCGACCACCAGCGCGGCGTCTTCTGCGTGTTCTCCGGCAACGGCGTGCAAAAGTTGCGTGAATACCTTAACACCTCGGCAGAGTACGAGGGCTTGCGCGATTCTCCTGGCCCGCGATTCTCCGGCGGCTTCTTGGTCCGCCGTAACATCGGCGCCCATGCTTCCACTGCTGCAAATGCAGGAACAGTAAACGGTGACGCAGAAGGGGATGATGGCGAGGCCGCGGAAGACGACGAGTTCGAGGGTCTCGACGGCAGCGAAATGGCTGTCGATGGACAGCCACTGCTCGCGCAGAACCTCGTCAACGGTGACGCAGAACAGAACGGCCAGGCTCCGCCGCCCCCGCCAACCCATGTGCCCCCAACTGGAGCAGTGCCAATGTTTGCTCAACCACTTGGCCAGGCCCCGTTGTTGTTCAGCCCTACCAGTCCTAGCTTCCCCCAGTCGGCTCGTTCGCCGACAACAGCGGGTCCTGCGAATCATCCACCACCGTTGGTCGTATCTAGTCACTACTCGCCGACGTCTCCAACAGCGACGGCAGGACCCAGCTTATCAACCGCCACTGCCGTCTCGCCCCAGGGAACGAACCTGGGTTTCCCCGCGTACACCAACAGACGGCCGGCGCCGCTCGGTGCCAGCACTGCGTCAATGGAGGCGTCGATGTTGAGCCCCGCATCGCATCGCAGCCGTCCGGCGAGTGTCATTTCCATGGAAGCGTCAATGCTTGGACCTGCAGACCCAGACTTGGCGGAACCAACCACACCGAGCGCGGTGCAGCATTCTTAAAGCGACATTGACGAATATGGACCTGGACGATGCCAGCTCGAGTTCGCAGGGCAGAGGTTTTGACATGTACAGCATGAGATACGCAACGGCAATTATACCCAGGAGCGCGCGGAAAACACGGAACACACTACTAGACTGGCACAAGGGACGTGTCGAACAGCCTTTTGACCCTTGGTTGGGCTTTTATTTCGGTCCTTGTAGCACTTTTTTGGCATTTCTTGGAGGAGAGAGGTTTGGGGCTACATCTCTCCCCGAGGCGTTGACTGGTGTCTTCCTTCAGGGCTAACCCCCCTTGGTTCTTTCGGTTCTCTTACACAAATTTTCATCATGCGGTTTTTTTGCCCTCGGTGGTGTCAGTCACACACGGAGGCGGTGGTAGGGGGTTAGACATTGGCCTTGGTTTTGTTTTCTAGCGCTTCCAGCCTTCCAAGTTTGGTATCACAAGGGAGTGACGAGGAGCAGAAGTATGGCGATGGGGGGCGAAATCAAACATTGACGAATAACAATGAATACGTTACTTTGGCCCAGAGACGATTTTCGGCGACATCATGGTATGACAGCCCGAGGTTATGATCATAGAGAATGTAGTAGGGTGGTTCAGACCGCAAGTGTCCTTGTAGGCCTTTTATTTAGGGGTATTCTATCATATACACTACTCAATGCTGCCCCCTTGTCAGTGATTGACTGACTACATACGACCATACCCATTGGAGACGTATTCTCCATCTGAATGCGCTATCCTCTCGCTGACCCTCAGCCGTGTGAAGTAAATGTCTATAGTAACAGATGTTGAAATCGGCGCTCCCAACGCGTCGCCTACCAAAAGCCCATTATGGCTGGGTTCTGATTCCGGGCCTTCAGTTCCTCGCACTTCTGCGTCACGAACCAGTGCACCAGGTCTCGGGCCGCCAGGGCATCCTCTAGGCTGTCGTGGCCCATCTTGCCAACCTGGATTTGCCGACCCAGAAGGTCCTGGGTGAGGTTCTTGAGCGAAAGACCGCTGCCCTTTTGCTTCTTCGCCTTGTCCTCCCTCCCCTTCTGCTTGCCTTTCGAGTTCTCATTCTCTGAGTCAAAAGAGATCAAGTCTTCGTCAGGCACCTCAGCTTCTTGGATGTTCTTAGCTTCCTCGAGAGCCAGGGCCTTTTTTCTCTCCTCTTCCTCCTCCTCCTTTCGCTTCTCCTTCTCGGCCTTGGCTGCCGTAGCGAGCAGCATCGAGTCGACGACGAGGGGATGAATCCAGCGCAGCGAGGTGAGATCGTTGTTCACGCCGTGTCCGACGACGATCGTCTCAGGATCGACCCAACGCCATACCTCTTGCCGCGCCGCGGCCACGCCTCCAGTGATACACTTGCCCTTCCGCCGGGCCTCGTCCATGGCCTGGCGGGAAACGCCAGAGTAGCGGGTGTTGAAGTGCGACATGCCAACCGCAGGCACTACAAGGCTGTCCAGTAGAATCTCGGAGGTGAAGTAGTCGACAAGGGTCAGCCGAATGAGCTCGGATTCTCCATCAAATGCGACGCCCATCTCGCAGTCTATGGCTACAGCACGGCGCGACTGGCGAGGGCCGGAGGGCGTGTAAGCGTCTGTCAAAGAGAGGGTGATGAGTGGATCCGGGTTGAGGTCGACGAGGGTGGACGGAGGTGTCCTATGGTATTGGTGACGGTCGAAGAGCTCTTTTTGGGTGTATGCCCTCGTGAGATGCTCCGGGGCAAAGGTGCAGCCGGGGGTGGAGGCGAAGGTTCGACAGCAATTCCAGTGCTATGCGGTCAGTTTAGGGAGTAGCAGGCGGAAACGGGCGCTTACCATGTTGAAGACGCGGCCAGTATGATATTGGCATTTCAGAATGGGTTTCTTCTTGTCCTTGTCGTCCTTGCCGTCGTCCCTGTCGTCCCCGTCCTTCTTGGCGTCTCCTTGGATGTCGTCCAAGTCAACAATGGGAATGGCCCTGGGCTTGGGCCTGGACGCTGCATGGTTCTGACGAGGATTTCTATTCCCCTTCTTTCCATCTTGGGCGTCCCCCTTGTACTTGTTTCCCCTCTTGTTACCTATCGAATGTTAGCTTTGAACCTTGACACGCGAAAAGGTGACTCACAACGTGCATTACATCGTCGGCAGCGCTTCTTGCCCTCCACGTCCGACAGAGACAGCTGAGCGATGATGAAACCACTTTTGACAAGAAGGTCTTTGTGGTGCGTCATAGACCGCAGCTGCTGGACGTACTCTGGGGTTGGTTCGATGGCTGCCGAGGGAGGGCCGTAGGGATTCCGGGCAGGAGCCTGGGCAGTGACTCGCGTCGACACCTGAGGTACGAAGAAGGACATTGTGAGGTCTGGCAGTGACCTGCGGCTGAGTGAGTGCGCGCAAGGTAGGCAGAAGATATGTAGTGAAGGTGTGAGATCTTTGAATATGAAGTCGGAGTTTGTGAATTGCGAAAAGAGTGTTGTTTTTCAAGATGCAGGCGGAAAGATGCAAGTTGCCGTGGTGGTAGGCAGCGAAGGTTTGCCCCAAGGAAGTCGCGAAGATGAAGTGAGGGAGGTGAGGTGAGGTGAGGTAGGTGTGGCGGTGGACGATGGCAGGTGGGTTCCTGCGTGCGCCTGCGTTTGTCTCAAATGGGCTGTCGCGTCTCGACCGTTTGCTCTTACCTTTTCCGTCGACAGTCGCCTCAATTGAGTGAGGAAGGTGTGCCTGCCTGTCGTCTTCCCTTCCTGTTTCCCAATTATTCTCATGCAAGGTCCTTGGCAGCGTCGTGGGAAGGCGCAATCCGGCGAGGCGCATCCAGGAAAAGGAAGAACAGAAGGACCCACCTCGGTTGATGTTTTTTTGACGGCGGAAGTCGCGATGGGCCTCACTGCCCCGGCCTCCGATCCGGCCAACTCAGCCACGCAACAGGTGCATTCAGAATAACTTGGTAAGGCATATTTGAGAAATTCTGTTGTCGATGCATGTGGAGGCACTTAAGTGTAAATACTACCTAGCACGGCTGCAGCGGTCCTCGGACAGGAAGCCGCTTAGACCTTGGCCAGTTCTGTTTATTGAGAGGCCCACGCAAGCCTCGTGAACTCAAAAGCCTAGCTGAGCATCCATATCAACTGATTCTAATTCATATCGAGTAATGTCAGTTTCTACGATGAACTTAAGTGTGGACTATGCACAAGCCGGGGCGGGCACGAAGCGCAGTCTGGTAGTCTGACTCTTCGCTCGATGGCTACCACCAGTGACATCGTGACTACATGAGTTCTCGTCAAGCCGGGTATGACATGGTGTTCTTGGAGGTTAATTGATGCGAAGTAAGAGAGATGTTCATCCTTCTAGGATAATTGGACCACCACTTGATGTGTCTGGTTTTTGTTATTATCACGCACGTTTCCGTTTATCCCTTCGTGCGGCTGCAAATTGAATCTTGAAAAATAAGAAGAAATAAATTCACAGCACTCAGGCAATGGCCGCTGAACGGCCAAAGTCCTCATAAACCAGCTCTCATAGCCCTCAAGATCTGTCTCGAATACTTTAAATATCCACAGACCCATCTAGACACTCCATAGAGTTGAAGTCAGTCTCCGGGAACCTCTCCGGAAGCCCGGCGCACGGCCGACGTCACATCAGTTCGAGACCTCACGTGCTCTTGTGCGGGACTTAGTTCAAGTATATGGAAGGTTTGTTACATAAATGGTTGGGGCACCTGGGGTAGGTAGCTTCGTTGGATGCTGGCCATTATCGCCGCCGGTAAGGGTTGATGTTAATATGGTGAGTCTTCAGCAATGGTAGTTGATGAGAACAACCTCATATTTTGTACGGAGTACTTTATAAAAGTGAATTTTTTGGCATGATAAAGCTTTTATTGATTAGAAGACGTGCCTTTCTCTTACAGCAACGAGAAAATGTTCTTCGTGATGATCTCGGTGAAGACCACCCTCACCGAAGGCAGCTCACCGAGCTCTGGTGCACGGATCTCTTCCACCAAAACCCTGGCACGTGACGCCGCTTCACCCTCAATTCTGTGGGGCATTGGTCCATCACACTGCAATGTTTATGGGCGCGACGCTCAATCACGACACGCGTCAACGGTTCACTTGATCTTGAGAGACGATGATGAAGTTGCCCCCGGTTCGAAAGTTTGTATAGTTTGTGTAGTTCACTGATGAAGCTAGTAAGGAAAAGAATACGAAGCCATGTTCTCGAACTCCCACCAACTTTCGCTACCCCTCGACGACGTGATGAACTTGGCCGGTCTCAGTAAGTACATCGGCCGCAATACGAACATTCCTGCGAGCAAGCAGTGAAATCCCGATCATCTTTGTCGCTATCGCTCCAACCAAGGTCGCCTCCTCCCACGTCAGAGTCATACTCACCGTCGCTACTGACGCTACTACACATGACGGTGCCAGCGGTACCCAACCAGCGAATCCACTTGAACAGCACGCCTCCCGAACATAAAGCGGGCAAACCGGGAGTCTGCTTTAACACTTCCAGCTTCCCTGGCACACGGTGAGCAATCTCCAGCCTGTGATTCGCCTGGGCAACATCGACGATGCGGTGCAGAAGTGCTGCTAGCTGAGAGAGTTCGTTGTTCTGCTCCCTCTCCCAAGCTTTGAGCTTGGAAGATACGTCGATGACTTCAATGTCGTTGAACACACCTCGGTTATGATATGCCAAGACGAAGTTTGGTATCTGCGCCACCCACATGCGAGGAAGCTCTTCGCCGAGGAAGTCGCGGCCTCGACGAATGCTAGATCGTGTCTTGAGATCGAAGACTGCTGATTGCGGGACCTTCAAGCCCCCCGACAGCATTTGCAATGGAGAAGAAGTCGTGGGTGTCTTCGAAGTCATGTTATTGTCCGCCAGGCTAGCGACGAGGTCTTCGACGGGATCCGCAGCTCCACGCTCACGCTTGGGTTGCACCGTTGAACCCAGTCGGTCCTTCAGATAGCCGTCACCCTCGTGCCGGACGATGCAGCCGAGCCCGCCAAAGTCGTATCTGAGAATCCGCTGGTGAGAAGCTGAGCCGCGGACATCTGCATCCCATGTGGTGTAGGCCTCTGGAAATGTGTGGCCGTAGCCTCGAACGTCTGGGATCGTTGCCGTGGGCGAATTTTCTCTGCGGATCAGGTGTACCGTGTTGCCGACGACTTCTACCAACATACGGAAGGGCCGCTCATCGCGTCTCACAAATCGAAGAAGATTGCCCAGCGTGCTCCCACAAGCGACGATGTCGACTTCCTTGGAGGGTGCTTCCGGCTGCATCGTCAAGATGGCTCTGACGGCGGGCTCCATTGGGTGCGAAGCATATCTCGCGGCGTTTTTGTCGCGGTAGTAGACGCCGCTGTCTTCATACAATTGACGAGGTGCGCCAAGCGGCGTCCATCTCGGTGGTGCGCCTTTTCAATTAACACGAGCAGCAAGCAAGGTGCCGGGACGAATACACACCTGGGACCTTCATTGTCGGCTGCGCTCTGTCCAACCAATTGTATGATGCAAGGACCTCACAGTCAGTTACTGTAGCAGAAGACGAGTACTTGGATGCCGACTTCGCCAAGTCGGCGATGGCGATCGACTCTATAGGGGGCCCAAAGGGAGGTGCTGCGGCATCCAGTCCCAAGTTAGGCCGCTGGGGCCGCTGCCATTTGTTGCTGCGACGATACATATTGAGTCGGTGACCTGAATTTTCGAACGGAAGGTGTAAAGAGCTGCTGCAACGGCTTCGAAATCATGCTGGAAAGGGCGCGTCAACATGAACGCTTTTAAAAGCAGTCATGCTCGCCCTGCGGTTTGCCTCACGTCGATGAGCCACTCACAGCCTCCCATGCTGGAGGCCGACCACGACCCAAACCACGGCCCAATCGAAGACCAACGGCGGTTCGGATTGGCTTTGGACAGCATTTCGCTGCTGCTTTTTCTACTTTCTCAATTCAATTGCCCCAACAAAGCTGTTGGACGTCAAAAGCCTAACCTTGTCTGCCTTGGAGGAGTTATCAGCATGTGATAAGTATTCGCTGCTCCTGGCACGCTTACCCGTCGTCTGTTTCCAACATTACTTCTCCCATTCTTCTACAGCCAAACTTTCCTCTGGCTGCAGTACTGAAAAGCAATTTCTTCGCGACGCCTTCATAGTGTCTTGCAACTTCGCGTTTCACTGCCTTGATCGTGTCTGGATCCCATCCACACCCCTTCAACCATCGCTGGCTTCTCACACACGATGGGTTCCATACAAGGAGATCCTCAACGCGCTGCCCGTCTTCTGAAAGTCTTCAGAGATGTCACCAAGGGTGGGCGATCCATTACGACGGCTGCTAATGCACGCCTTTTCCTCGAGGCCGTCCGCTCGAACCCCTCACCGGTCCATTGTTTGGAGGCCGTCACCGCCAGCACCGCTGCTAAGGATGCCCTTCGCTACAGTCTTCGACTCGATTTATCTGTGTCCTCTCTTCGGTCCCACGTACTGCCTTTCATCGAATATCTGAGCGATCCCGGCGTGAGGATGGTGTACAACGGCGAGCTTTTGCATCAAATCCTTCTCCTCATTGTCCAACCGCCCACGCTGTGGAACAGCCTGATGAATCTGTATCAGGAGTCTCGGCTTGACGAGAACGATCTTTTCGTGTTTGCTTGGCTTTGCCTGGAGCTTGCGAGCGTTCCTGGAAAGGAGCATGACGACCTCATCAATGATATCTCGTCCGTCGTTGATCAGAAGCCGTTACAGCAGGCCCAAGACCAAAGAACCCGGGAGCTCATGTATAGGACGAAAAAGGTCCTAGCGCTCCGATCTTCGCCAGCCACTGATCGAGATGCCGATGGAGCCGGGGGCCGACATGACAATGACTTTGCTGATTTCCGAGATGTCTCAATCTTCCCCACGAGCGATGAGTTTCACTCGAGTGCCCCTCCCTTCTACCGACGGGCGGCTGAAGTCACGGCAATCGACGCTTCCGACCGGCCTCGAGCGCACCTCGACAATCAGTTCCGTCTCTTGCGCGAAGACATGCTTGGCGAGCTACGCGAGGACTTGACCGTTGCCATCGGAAAGAAGAAAGGCAGAAGAGGAATGCCGCAGATCCTCGCAGGCTTGACTCCCGTTGGCATTGACACCGGCGACGAGAAGCGAGGCCGCTTTTGTGCTGTTCTTCTCAGCTGCCAGGTGGGTCTGGAGGTTCTGTCCAAGCTGGATGGTCCTCAGCGGACGAGGTTCTTGAGGGACCATAAAGGCTTTCTACGCCACCAGTCTTTCGGAGCCTTGTGCAGCAACAGCAAGATCATTGCATTCGCTTCATTGATCCGGGACAACGAGCGATTGGCTGAAGAGCCTCCTGTGATCACGCTGCAATTCACCGACAGTGATGCTCTTGCTAGAGCTCTGCTTGCTTTACAGTCTCCTGCCGATCTCCGCTTCGTCTTGGTCGACACCCCGATCTTCGCGTACCAACCGGTGCTGGAGCGACTCCAAGAGATCGCCGAGATGCCTCTCGAAAGAGAGCTTCTTTGTCTCAAAAACAACGATCCTGACGCCTCGCCCACCACGTTGGACCAATCTGTTCATATCGAAAATTACATCAGTCAATTCAAGCAAATCCTTGAGGGAGCCTCTTCGACGTTCAGCATGGGCAGTCAGCAGTTTCAACTTGACAAGTCCCAAATCCGATCTGTGCTGAGCGCGCTTCAGAGTCCGTTGGCTCTGGTTCAAGGACCTCCCGGTAAGTTGTCACAACCAAGCACCCTACACTGTGACATTAACTGATGACCAACCTAGGTACTGGCAAGTCGTTTGTGGGAGCGCTCGCAGCGAAAATCCTGCTGAAGGATCCCAGCAAGCGCATTCTGGTTTTGAGTTACACCAACCACGCCCTGGATCAATTCCTCGAAGACTTGATGAATATTGGCATCTCGCCTGACACCATGGTTCGTCTAGGGTCCAAGTTCACGGAGGCAACTGAGAAGCTTCTCCTCGAGAGGCAAGTACGGAACCGCGCTGGTTGGGGTAGACTGCCCTGGGATAAGATAAGTCATGCCAAAGAGAACATATCGAATGCGAGGGCCGAGATTGACAAGGCCTCTGGAAGTCTTGTGCGAGGCAAGATAAGTCTTCTGGAGATTCTAAACTACCTCGAGTTTGAAGAGGACGCCGAGGACTTTTACGATGCTTTCACGTTGCCTGAGCAGGACGATGGCTTCCAGCTTGCGGGGAATTCTCGCCAGCCTCAGAAGGCCATGTCACCCGACTACTTGCTCGACCGGTGGGCGCGGGGGCTGAATCCCGGTGAACTCACGCCCCTCATCTCACCCGAGAGCAGACGTATTTGGCAGATTCCGGAGGACCAAAGACGGAAGCACATGGATACCTGGATTGAGAGCCTGCGCGGGGAGCAAATCGAAACGATCCAGCATCTGGTGCGTCAGTTCGACGATGCCCAGCGAGAGGTGGACACCCTCTACAACGAATCCAAGTGCAACTTCGTTCAGGGGAAGCGACTTGTCGGATGCACCACTACAGCGGCAGCGATGTACAAGCCGCTCATCAAAGCCGCTCGGCCGGATGTCGTTCTCGTCGAAGAAGCTGGCGAGATTCTCGAGGCCCATGTGCTGACCGCCCTGCACTCATCGACGAGCCAGGTAATCTTGATCGGTGACCACAAGCAGTTGCGTCCAAAGATCAACAATTACGCACTGAGCGTAGAGAAGGGGGAGGGGTTCGACCTCAACCGGTCTCTTTTCGAGAGATTGATTCTTCAGGAGCATGAACACACGACGCTCCAGAAGCAACACCGAATGCACCCCGATATCTCGGATCTCGTTCGACAGATGACATACCCGCTATTGAAGGACGATGATAAGACTCTCTTGCGGCCGGAAGCAAAAGGCTTGCAGGGAAGGGTTTGCTTCGTCAACCATAGCCACCCAGAGGACCTCGCAAGCGGTATCAACGATCGACACGGTGGCGAGGTCTCTGCAAGCAAGAGAAATCGTTTCGAAGCTCACATGGTTCTCAAACTTGTTAAGTACCTGGGACAACAAGGGTACAAGACCAGCAACATCGTCGTCCTTACCCCGTACATCGGACAAGTCTCACTTCTCAGAGAGATGTTGAGTAAAGAGGTTGACCCTGTGCTGAACGATCTGGACTCCTTCGAGCTCATCCGCGCTGGGCTGATGACTGCTGCTGCGGCGAAGGTTAAAGATGGGCCAGGCCAGATCAAGCTGTCAACGATTGGTAAGCATTTATCTTTACCCTAGCATGGAGAAAATGTGCTGACTTTTCCAGACAATTATCAAGGAGAGGAGAGCGATATTGTGATAGCATCCATGACCCGAAGCAACAATAATGGCGACATAGGTTTCATGAAGGCACCCGAACGACTGAACGTTCTATGCTCCCGTGCCAGAGAATGCCTGATCATGATCGGCAACATGGAGACATTCATGGCATCCGCCCAGGGCAAGCCTGTCTGGTTGCCGTTCTTCGAGATTCTCAAGGAGAAGGGGTACTTGTACGATGGCGTACCCGTGCGCTGTCAACAGCACCCCGAGAAGACGGCTTTACTCAAGGACCCGAGTGAATTCGACGCGAAATGTGCCGATGGTGGCTGTGACGAGAGTTGGTAAGTTAACAGCACCCATGGAATAATCCTGTGACGAGCTGACCATGTCTACTTAAGCAATGCATTACTGTCTTGCGGCAAGCACAGGTGCCAGTTACATTGCCACCGCATCAAGGACCACGCGAAAGTCACCTGTCATGAACGGATCAAGAAGACTTGCGACAGGGGCCATGATTACACCATCAGCTGCAGCTCCAAGGAGGACGCGTGTCCAGCCTGCGTCAAGGAAGACGAGGACAACCGCAGGAGGATCCGGCGAAACCTGGAAATGGAGAAGGAGCGACTCCTAGCCCAGCAGCGATATGCCAAAGAGCTCCAAGTGATCCAGGACGAGCTCGATCATGAGAGGCGAAAGCTTCAATACGCGCAGGAGGACGACGACCAGAAGAGGAAGTTGAAGCAGGCTCAAGCTGATCTCAAGGATCTAAGGGACACTCGTTCTCGTGCGGAGGCCATGAAGGCGGCACAAAAGGCCGCGCCAAAAGCTCCGGATGCCGCGGTCAATGGCGGATCACCGCCACAACAAGCAGCCGTTGCGCCGGGGAGTGCCCAGGAAGAATGGGAGCACATGAAATCGCAGTTTGGTGCTAGAAGTGACCCCTTGGACACGCTCATGGGCATGATCGGGCTTGAGAGCGTCAAGCAAGAGTTCCTTTCTATCAAGTCCAAGGTTGATGTCTCTGTTCGTCAGCAGATCTCCTTGTCAAAGGAGCGGTTTGGCTGCACCCTACTCGGAAACCCTGGCACTGGTAAGAATCTGCACAATCTTCTGACAAGTCTCTTATCGGGCCAACCATTAATTATTGACAGGCAAGACGACTGTCGCCCGCATATACGGCCAGTTCTTGACATCGGTTGGCGTTATTGCTGGCTCCTGTTTCAAGGAGACGTCAGGGTCGAAGCTCGCCAACATGGGAGTCACAGGCTGTGAGAAGTTGCTCGAGGATGTCCTCAACACCGGTGGCGGAGTGGTCTTCATCGACGAAGCATACCAGCTCTCGTCCGGCAATAGCCCCGGCGGCAAGGCCGTGCTCGATTATCTGCTCGCTGAAGTTGAGAATCTCACCGGGAAGGTCGTCTTTGTCTTGGCCGGGTACAATAAGCAAATGGAGTCATTCTTCGCGCACAACCCCGGATTTCCAAGCCGCTTCCCGCTGGAAATGAAGTTTGAGGACTACGAAGATGCCGAGCTTCTGCAGATTCTGACCCTACAGATCAACAAGAAGTACGGAGGCCGGATGAAGTGGCAGGACGATCTTTATCTCCGAGTGGCCACCCGCAGACTTGGCCTGGGCCGCGGAAAGGAGGGCTTCGGCAACGCCAGAGCAGTCGAGAATTTACTCGCCAAGATAATGAGCCGCCAGGCGAACAGACTCCGCAAAGAGCGGCGGAAGGGAGCTCGCTCAGATGATCTCCTCTTCACCATGGAAGATCTGGTCGGACCCGAGCCCTCCAACGCCCTTACGACAAGCAAAGCCTGGGCGAAGCTGCAAGGTCTCATTGGACTGAAATCTGTCAAGCAGTCGGTCAAGGCGCTCGTTGACAGTCTGCAAACCAACTATCGCCGGGAACTCGCCGAGGAGCCTATCCTCGAGTACTCCTTGAACAAGGTATTCCTCGGATCCCCAGGAACGGGGAAGACGACGATTGCCAAGCTTTACGGAGAGATTCTCGTTGACATTGGGATGCTGTCGAATGGTGAAGGTAAGTGCCGAGACGGTATTGCGTTACTCATGACGCTAACGTTGGCAGTGATTGTGAAGAATCCTTCAGACTTTGTTGGGGCGGTCATAGGAGGCTCAGAAGTGCAAACGAAGGGCATACTTGCATCCACAGTGGGCAAAGTCCTGGTCATCGACGAGGCTTACGGCCTGTTCAGCACCAACGGCAGCACCCCATGCCCGTTCAAGACAGCTGTTGTCGATACGATTGTCGCCGAAGTCCAGAGCGTCCCGGGAGAAGATCGGTGTGTCCTACTTCTTGGCTACAAGGATCAAATGGAAAAGATGTTCCAAAACGTCAATCCTGGCCTTAGCCGACGGTTCCCGATTGATTCCGCCTTCACGTTCGAGGACTTCACCAGTGATGAGCTGCGCAAGATTCTCGACATGAAGATCAAACAGCAGGGCTTCAAGGCCACGGATCAGGCAAAGAGGGTGGCTATGGAGATGCTTGAGCGTGCGCGAAATCGACCCAACTTTGGCAACGCTGGTGAGGTGGACATTCTCCTGAACGATGCGAAGACGCGCCACCAAACCCGGCTTTCAGCAAACGAGACAGGCCAGGTCTCTACCCTCGAAGCTCTGGACTTTGACGAGAACTTTGATCGTGCTGAGCGCAAGCACACCAATGTGGCCAAGCTCTTCGAGGGCACTATAGGCTGCGAGATGATCGTGGCGAAGCTCGAAGGGTACCAGGAGGACGTTAGGTCCATGAAGGCGCTTGGGATGGACCCAAAGGAGAGCATGCCCTTCAACTTCGTCTTCCGTGGACCACCTGGCACGGGCAAGACTTCGACAGCGAGGAAGATGGGCAAAGTATTCTACGATATGGGTTTCTTGGCGAGTGCCGAGGTGTTGGACTGCTCAGCGACGGATCTTATTGGCTCATTTGTTGGACACACCGGTCCTAAGGTGCAGAAGCTTCTCGACAAGGCCCTTGGAAAGGTTCTCTTTGTGGATGAGGCATATCGCCTCAATCAAAGAGGCCACAATAACTTTGCCAAGGAAGCCGTTGATGAGATAGTCGATTGCGTGACTAAAGAGAAGTACAAGGGGCGCATGGTTATCATCTTAGCCGGCTACGACGATGAGATCAATGAGCTGCTGTCCATCAACCCGGGAATGTCTAGCAGATTCCCGGAATCCATCGACTTCCATCCTCTCACGCCAGAAAACTGCTTCGATCTCCTTGTCAAGCTCCTACAGAAGCAGAAGCAGAGGACCGAGAGCAGGAAGCCGATGAACAGCGTACTCCTGGCTTGTCTGGAGCAGCCGACCTTGACTTTCAAGAAGGAAATAATTGAGAATTTTGGACGACTTTCCACCCAGGCCAGCTGGGCCAATGCTCGGGATGTGGAGAGTTTGGCCAAGTCCGTTTTCAGCTACGCACTAAAGGCTCTTCAGGGCACCTGCGTCACCATCACGGAGACCATAGTGCTGGACGAGATGGGCAAAATGTTCAAGGAGCGAGAAAGCCGCAACAGACAAGCGAAAAGGACCAAGTGCGGACAACAAAGTAGTCCGCCTATAGCTCCTGCCATGCCGCCTCCACAAGCTCCTCCAGCCTCAACCGCAAGTGGCACTGCGACGCAGCAGCAGCTACATAAACTCCCGGATCGCACTAAGGATAAAGACACCGAAGCAGAGAATACTGCAACAGCGAGTGATAGCACCGGTTTGGGAGGCGTACAACGAGATGCCGGGGTCAGTGATGAAGTCTGGGAACAACTTGAACGCGACAAGAAGGCCCAGGAGCAGAAGGAGGGCAAGTATCGCTCGATGCTCAAGGCCCAGAAGGCAGCCTCTGGTGCCGCCAGAGACGCGATCCTGAAACAGATTCTTGAGGAAGAAGAGCGGCGGAAGAAGGAAGAGGAGCAGCGCAAGAAAGCGGCGAAACTGGGAAAATGCCCCGCTGGATATGCCTGGATCAAGCAGGCTCAGGGGTTCCGGTGCGCTGGAGGGTCTCACTTCATCTCTGACGAGCAAATTGCTGGAGCTTGAGTATAGATAAACATTGAACTTAAATTCTACATGAGAAGCGATTATCTATATTGTGTTTTAGATTTCTTAATATAGCAACCGCATGACCTTTAACCCTCTGAGCAATTTTGGTCGGCATCTAGAAGCGGGCCGCGAAACTGTGGCACCAGAACCACGGCTTCATCGAGAAAAGGCCGCCTGCGCATCAAAATACCGACAATTTGGGTCCGCATCTATGAGCTTAACTCGTCCAAACGCCGGTTAGAGTTTTGTATGTCACCTTGATCTCTCACATCATTTCGGCTTCGGCCGAGTGCTTGGTTTCGTGCCGGTAACAAGGCCTTGCTTCGATACAGCCTCACCGCAAGCGGCGTTGACTCGCGCAGTCCCATCCTCTCAAATAGGCAGTTGCCTAATTCATATATAGCCGTGCCGTCAACCCGGAGATTCGATTAAAATCTGGGGTTAGCAGCCACGTTGTTCGTGCTGGTTGGGGTTCATCCGTTCATCTTCTTTCGTCAATCGTTGCCACTCGCGTCGATCGCTGAATACTGGCCAGTACAATCCCTCATCATTTGACATTCGTTCATTACTTCAAGTATAAATATTTCAATTCTATTTCTTACGCAATTATTTGAAGATGCAGATCCCTATCACCTTTGTCGCGACCATTCTTGCCTTCTCAGGCGCGGTATCCGCGCTGCCGTAAGTCTGTCAGTCGCCATCTTCGCCATGCAATCTGCCTTCCGCCCCCCTAATCTCCAGAAACCAAATACTGAAGCTCTTTCTCCAACAGGCAAGCCATAACGGGAAAGGCTACTGACTTTGGAACCTACTTTTGCCAGACTCGCACCGATGCCGGCAGCAAAATTGTGGCCAACAACAACTTTTGCAAGGCAGCTGGTGGAGCAGTTTTGGTTTCGGAGGGTGTAAGTACAAACGTATTCCGTCATTCTCTCCCGGCCAAAATAGGTTGCAAGCATTCCAGCTGGCAAGAGATGATCTATCCGAGAAGAGGGCTAAGATGAAGCCTCACAGTTCTGCTGTATCCGAAACAACAATGTCAAGGTTCAACAGGCCATGGCGAAGGGCTGCAACGACAACAAACTGGTCTTCAGCCAGAACGACGCTCCTTGCTCGCCTTGAGTAATCGGAAGTTTTTGGGACGAGTTATTGCCCTCGGCTCACGGATGAAGCAAGATTCAATGAGTAGTAGCATGCATTGGAAGCAGACCTAGTTACTGCACATAAAGTCATCTGGACAATTGGAACAATCATTCGCCCAAGCTCATTTTGTCAAAGTTCCTACAATATGAGGAATGACCTCGTTTGGTGACTCGCCCGCCGGTGCCGCCAGATCGACCTCAGCCCACGGTCCAACTTGTTGTAGAGTCTGTCCCGTTCGCCGACAGAGGTGACACGAGCCCATTGCTTGTTCCCAGAAGATATTCGTGAATCCTGTTACCGTTAGCAGCGGATCAGCTACACAAGTTACAACTCTCACTCTGATAAAGCGGGATCAACAAGCCACGTTCGGCCTTCACGTGCTCATACACGTACCACCTCCCTCCCTTCTTGAGATAGCCGTAAAGCAACCGAATGTTCTTCTCGGGCTCTGGAATAGTGCATAGACACTGAACGGTCATGATGCAGTTCACGCTCCCAGGCTCGATCTTGCCTCCCCATGCCGTCTCATTCTGCAGGTCCTCGATGCCGACGGGAACAACCTCGTACGTCTTTTCCAGTCCTGCCTCCTGTGCTCGACGTTTCAGCGAAGCAGCAGATAAGGGGTTCGGTTCAACACCATAGATCTTTGTCGGCCCACGAAGACTTTGGGCTTTTGCAGCACCGAGGACTTTGACATGCGCGTCCATCCACATGCCACTACCAGCACCAATTTCAAGAACAATTCCTTCAAGCGGCTTGCCAGACATCTGAGCCGAAATATTGCCTCCCCGAACGCGACCCTCGAGAAGGGGGAATACCATCGGTTCTGCGCCAGCTTTCGCCTTAGGGCCCATAACGACCCAGAAGTTGCCAAACCATGCTTCTTTGAAGGCGGACCAGGATAAGAACGCTTTGACGTCACCAGAGGCGACCAGCTTTGCGACCGTTACGGGGAGATAGACGAGGGAGAAGGCCATGAACAGCCATGGTTGAATCAAATAAGTGATCATTTTGCTAATCAGATGGGTGCATTCTCATTGGATTGATGAGGGAAAATTGTGGCTAGTTCAAAGTCAGGCCATTTATGTAGCGGAGCTGAATCCCGGAGAGTTTGCTGCCCAAAGTGTCCGCGAGACCCCTCATTCAAACCCCGCCCGAACCACAACTTCGGCCGAGGGACACGGGCGACTGTCGGTTGTACAGTACTCAGCAGTCGGACCTGCGAGCGAGTATCACTGATTCATTCGCAAGAAATCAGTTCGTCGTATCAAGGGATGAAAGACAGCTTGAGCTACATGATACACGAATTATGGGCAGCATTCATGCATGGAAGGCCAAAGCCCGAGATGAGATTTTCTATGTACAAGATGCGACTAAGTCTATGATGAGATGGTAATAATACAATGAGGCATTATCTAAGCCTCTAGAGCTTCTTGGCAGGCTTGACGGAAGGCTCCTTGCTGACGCGCTTGTTCACGCTGTCCTGCTCGTGCAGCTCGGGCTTGGAGTCCAGGGGACGGTCGAGACCGAGACGGTGGTAGGTGCTGTAGGAAGCGATGCCACCCTCGGGATCGGCCTCAGTCACGAGCTCCTTGCGGCGGGTGTCGACCAGAAGACGGATGAGGTCGGGGCGCATGTAGTGGCCGGCAAAGTCAGCGAGGACCTTGGTGAGGTGCTTCTCGTTGAGGTCGATGTCGACGAACATCAGGCCGTCAAAGTCCTTGTCGGGCTTGGCGACCAAGCTGCCATCGGGCTTGTAGATGCGGGCATGGCCGTTGTAGACTGAGGGATCGGTCTCGGGCTCGACGCCCTCGGGGGTGTTCTTCTTCAGACCCTCGACGGAGAGACGCTGGAATGGAGCGAGGACCCAAGTGCCGGTCTCAATGGCGTAGGCGGGGGTAACGAGGTCGGAGGCAGGGTCGGCGTAGTTGGTGGCCGGGTCGGGGGCGACCTGGCGCTCCTTGCCGGGGTAGACGGGCCATCCGGCGACGTGAACCTGCTCACCCATGGAGACGTTGAGGGACTTGAGGAAAGGGTTCATGTTCTCCCAGCAGTTGAGCTGGCCGACGCGGCCGATGCCGGTCTCGGAGACCGAGAGGAAGGTGTCGCCGGAGCCGTCGCCGTAGACGAGCTTTTCGACGTGGGTGGGCTTAATCTTGCGGCGGTGGTTGATGACGGTGCCGTCGGGGGAGATAAGGACCTGCGAGAGGTAGAGAGTGGCGTGGTCGAGCTCGGAGAAGCCCATGGAGACGTAGATCTGGTTGTCACGGGCGGCGCGGCGGATGCGGCGCATCTCCTCGGAGTCGACGCGGAGGGAGTTCTCGCGGTACTTCTTCAGCATGGGAAGGGATTGCATGTAGGTGACCTTCCACATCCAGTAGGGGTAGCCGGGAATCCCTAGAAGAGGTTAGCGTGTTGGCTGCTTGATGAAGAATGGGAGATGACTGACAAACTTCGGGGAAGGCAACCAGCTTGCAGCCGGCCTGGCCTGCCTCGTTGATGAAGTTGATGGTCTTCTGGACACCACCCTCGAGGTCGAACCACTGTTCAAGTTAGCATCGGGTAGAAGCTGGGGGAAGGAAAAATATTACACCGGGCTCGGAGGTGACAGCGGCGGCCTTGTACTTGGTGATAGGCATGTTGAAGGTTGTTGATCGAACGAGTTCGAGGTGTAGGATGGTTGTTTGAGTGAGACTGTGAGTCTGGATTGATGTGTTTGAGTGTGATGCTCCAGAAAGAAGACTCGGACTTCCAGAAGAATCCAACGTCCTTATATGGTTTCTAAGTTTCCATGTACAGAGTCTGTTGGAAAACTAAAGACTTCGTGTCTGTCACCGGGCTTTGAGCAGCATGGGCAAACCATCTGTGTCACGCTATGGTTCAACATGGCCTGTGTTGTCAGCATGGGCATCGAAATGTGTACAAACGCCGTTGAACGCCTCATCAAAATGCTCGGTATCAATGCTCCAGCAGATTCTGAGATCAAGTTGAGCAAGTTATCTCAAGCCCGAGCCCCGTTCTACGCCGTCTGGCTGTGGCGTGATCGATATCCATCTTTTCCGGGAACCAAGTGCAGAACGCCGTTGCTGTGACTGGAGGCACATCAAATTTTACGCAGCAATTACTTTACCGTCAACAGGCAATCTGGGGAATGAAGCTTGGACTGCTCCCTAAGGAGCAAACGCTCTAAAGTGTGATTCCGAAAATCAACGAATTTCCCCCGGAGTCACGCGGCCAGCAAAGCAAAAGCCGCGACCTGTCGTGGCACGACTGGTGTGACGTAAAGCCACCGCCGACTGCCGCGTTTCTCCGGATCGATCAGACCAGATCGGTGGATGAATTAATTTAGCTCCCGTCTTCCCGGCGGCGCAGATCAAATCTGCGCCCCTCCGGGACCATCACCGGTGGTGGGGCGCCGGGGTCTGGTGTTACGTCCTGTTTTCAAATCCCGGCGGGGGCAGCGCAGACACCTACATCGTCCGATGTTCGGGAACGCTCGATCCCGATGGCAAATAATATGGAGATGGCCGGCAGTCACGGGGAAAAGAAGATATGATGAACGCCCCTTCGCGTGTATTGCTTCTGTGTATCTGAATCCTGCTACCTCCAAGCTTTGAGACCTTGATGTCCTGGTACAAATGGTCCTGTATTCCCGTTTTCTCCAGTGCGCACCAAAACTCGTTCCTCCGTTGTCAATCAAACCAAATCAAAGACGGCCTCTATGAATCGATTCGAAGGCATACGTGCCTGAGCTAGTTGAGCAAGTGGTCACGACCAATGATGGTGAGCATGACGGCCTTCCAGAAGGGAGCCTTCTCGACGTAGTCGCCGCCGGCATTGTTGGTCTTGTCCCAGAGGCTGGGAAGACCCTCGGCACCGTACTTCTTGCGGAGCTCGTCGTACTTCTCCTTGCCGTAGATGGCCCAAAACTCCTCCTCGGTGTAGTAGTGATGAGCGTAAAGCCACTTGAGGCCACCGAGCTGGCGGACCTTTTTCTCGATGTTGCGGTTGTCCTCGACGAAGCGCTTGAAGGCAGCGGCACCGATGGGGCTCTCGTACAGAGGCCAGGAGGCAGTCTTGAGACCCCAGAGACCGACGTTGATGACGGTCTGCTCAGTGTTGAGACCGTTGGCGAGGTGAAGGGTGGCATCAGTCTTGGCCTTGATGGGGCAGAGCCACATGGGGTAGACGTGGAGGGAGTCGTCGGCCCACTTGAGGAACTTCTCAATGTTCTCCTGGGGAATAGCCAAGTCCTGGACGATGAAGGCCTGGGAGCGACCACTGTGATGCATAGTGCGATACAAGTTGCGAGTGTGCATGAGGGGGTTCATGAAGAAGCGCGAGAAGCGGTTGAACAACGCCGGCTTCTGGCCGTACGTTCCCATCCAGAAGGCGCCTCTGTCGTAGCGGAAGAGGTAGTCCTTGACAGGGACGAGCTCGACGACGGTACCCTTGGCGCAGGGGTCGCGAGCCTTTGAGTAGGTGCAAGTGTCACAGTCGGTGTGACGAGCGTGGGCAATGGACTCGTGGGCGTGGAGGTAGAACCAAGGGTCCTGAGCGCGGCTGAAGCGGACAATAGGGACACCCTTCTTGGCATCATCAGTGAAGGTGCCTAGGATGATGACACCGCTGGTAGGGCCAAAGAGAATGGCCTCGACGAAGTTGACGAACGAGACATTGTCAGTGTAGAGCTTCAGCTTCTCGGTGGCGTCCGAGATGGAGTGGACGGGGATGTAGCGAAGCTCGACGTAGCGATGAGCCTTAATGAGCTGAATCTCGAACAGGGTGCAGACGCCAAGGGTACCGCAAGCTCCAATGGCTCCGTTGAAGAGGTCGGGGTTCTCCTCGCGGGAGGCCTTGATGAGACGACCGTCGGGAAGGATGATCTCAACAGAGATAACGGACTGGTCGAAGTAGCCGTGATTGAACGAAGAACTCTCGGCAGCGGTGCCAGAGAAACTGCCTCCGACGGTAATACC